AAAAGGCGATCCGATTTGCTTTAATTTTCCCTACAAAAACTGTGATACGATAGATAGATATTATATCTCACTTTGTTTCGTTAGTGTTCTTTGTTACGCGATTCGGTCAACAACAAAATCCGATTATCGCGATTGGATATTTCCCCTGTCCCTATGCACTTATAGCAGGTCGTTTGCTGAGCCGCGAGAGGCGTGCATATTTTGTTGTGCGTTCTGACAATATAAACATGTGCACACAGCAGAAGCTGGCCGAATTCACCAACAAACGAATATTACTCCGCGCTCCTTATTAATTATAAGTTCGAAGAAAGGACGTCTTCCGTTTACACGCACAGTGATACACATTATCCCGCTAAGTATACTATCACCGAGCGTAACTGGCACGGTTAAAACAATACTCGTGATGAATGTACGCTTCACGCAGCCCCTTGCGCGCAATTAATTATTCGCGACTATAGTGATTAATCGTGGTAATTTGAGCCAACGTGGGGGCTGAAACAGCAACAACGACGGGCAGAGTTACAAGCCTCGAAACCGTATTTAATAACGCGCCGCCCAACGCAGCGCGCTTTGCGCCAGCCGTTTTCCAAAGAAATCTCTGAATCCCTTCAGCACCTGTTGTCCGCTCCTCTTGTTCCCGCGTCAGCCCCTTTCCATCTCCTTGTCGCGATCGCTATCGCGTTCTCTTATCGTTTGCGGCGCCGTGTCGGAAATGGATGCTGGTCGATACCGTATCACGATGCGCTGTTTCCCTTACGATAAATTAATCCCGTAAGGGCTAATTGAAGCGAGACGCCCGTCAGTGATAAATAAGGTGTGACGTGACGAAGTAGCGACAAGCTTGACCGCTGCGGCCGCAGACGAACAAAAACAGTCTAATTTGTCTCTGGAAGATTGTCCTGGTTTCGCCCAATATCTAGATGGAATGCCATCTGGACCTTCCATATGTTGTCGATGGAATCGGCGGTTCCGCCTGAAACCAGAGGGCTGGGACTGTGATCAAGGGTGGTCTATATCAGATCGGTTTTCATTCACTGGGATTTTTGAGGATTCGAAAGTGGTTTCGAAAATCTGTATATTTTTAATCAGTACTATATCAGATTCATTCACTCGGCGACCACAATAGGTTCTTGTTTAATACCTATTTAATTGATTACTTTTAATACCTACTTAATACCTATTTAATTGACATTGCTTAATATTTTGTACAGAGATTATCTAGTTGCAAATAAATACGTTTGACTAATTAGAACTAGGTTTTTCAATAGATTTTCAGGAGTTTTAATGAAACATGGGGGTACGAAAATGTAAAACTATGAATACTTGTAAAAAATAAGTACTTACATAATATTCTTCGATGTTCTGCTGTTACTGTGTATGCCAGGATTTAAATTCAGGTCATTTTTTAGATTATAACTAGAAAGTAAACAGTTTTCATAAAGCTTGCTACAGTACGTTATTCACTGGTGCATAAAATAGATTTTGTGATGTGGTGGTTTTTATTCAAATCAAATAACAATGTTTCAGGGAATTGCAATGTTTTTTCCTGTTGTATTTTCGAAAAAATATAGAAGTAGAGAAAACATCATGAAAAATAATTACAGTTCATAAAATTGTATAGCGTTAGAAAGTCTGATCTTTCTAATTTACTTAGATTTAGATAGACTAACTAACTTAGAAAGTTGATATCGTTTTTTTAATTATTTCACAAAATTTATTTTAATTCTTTTACTCGTTTGACCTTAGCGTCCAGAGGAAGTTTCTGCTTAAAATCAATATTGGATACATGAAGCTGCTAATGCCTCAAGTTTAAAGTAAATCGGTCTCGGGTAATTTCATATGTATCTCGAACGTTGGTCCTTTGCAAAGTTCTTACGCTTATCTTCTTCGCGAGACTCTCAAATGTTTCGAGTATCCGTATATTTTCTCGCGAAGAGGAAAAACGGAACGAATTATTTGGACGTTCTTTGGACACGTCCACTTTAACAGAATTTTTTTCCATAGGGAAGCTATTTGGGATATACGATCGCAAGCCAGATTTTAGTAGCAGTCTTTCCCAGAAGTTTGTGAGAAGCACATCTTAAATCTCGATGAAATATGTACGTGTATTTTCTGTTTTTTATTACTCAGTACCGTTTATTTCTTTTACTTGCCATTATGATATTTGAGAATCCGCCCATCTCTACAAAGGAAAAATGTATTTGTTTTACTGGAAAAATTTTTAGTGCAAGATTACGTTAAATACGTTGGTACCCATGATAGATACTGGAACTATCATAGAATTTATGTTTATAATTTTGTGGGTCAATACTCAGGTTATTCGATACATTTCGAATGATTTTGGGAATCGTTTATTTGAACCATTAAATTTTTAATATTTGAGAAATTTTCAATTTTTAGAAACTGATTTTTAATGATTTCCGTTAAATATTGGAGAATATTCTTACTAAAGAGTTGCAATATTCTAGATATGGTATAGAATTTGTATTTCATAGTGTGAAATGTGCTATAAAGCATGAATATCCACAGTCTGGTAATTATTATGACGTACACGAAGCTTATGTCAGACTCGATCAGGTATTAAAATTGATGCATTGTAGCCTAATTATGAACGTGAACGAAATCAGTTTAACTGTAACAAAAGAAAGATTAAAGTTTTATTATGCGTAAAAAAGCGGAGGAAATGAAAGAGAGAAATATAATAAATCTGGATGAAAGTTAATTAAAAACTGCAGTAATCCAACGCATAAATGTAGTCAAATAATGTATATTGATACTGGTGACTGATACGGAATAAAATTGTATACCATTATATAACAATAACCATAATAACAATATAAATTATTACATTAGAACATAAATAATTGACAGTAATTGCAATTAAGAGTAATGTACATATAAACTATTTATGCAAATACTTTCATAGAAGAAGAATGTAGATACTACATCTCAATTGCGTAAAATATAAGTTCACTGACTGTAGCTCGTCAATTTACGAAAAATGAATTCTTTTTTAATCCTTAATTTCATATAAACACTTTATTTGGGTGTTCTATGATACAAATTAATAAGCAAGAATTATTGTTAATGTAACAATATCGTAACTTTGTAAAATGTTAGATGTCTTTCTTGCTTCGTATAGGGTGAGAAAGGTATACAATTTTTGGGGTACATACTATTTGCAAAAAAATAAAAGAAAAATAAATCTGTATCGAAAAATTAATGTTTTTGTAGATATATATTTTTCATTTCGGTTAATATCTTAGTGACAAACAATTTCTGATGCAGATGAATTACCCCAGAAAATGCAGAATGTCTTTGAAACTATTAAAATACATAGCAAAGAATATTTAAAAGCGTATGCATCTCTGTGATACGAATACGTGATATTCGCATGTAAATAGAAAGAGGATATGCAAATATCTCTTCCAATCACAGAAAGAAGAAAAGATAAGATATTCCATTGATTTTAGGCAGTGGGGTATCTTCTATAGTGAATAAATCATTCGTTTTATCTAGAATAAAAAATTATTCGTAGCTCTGAAAATATTAATCTTTTAACAGGTGCTCATTAAGTTTTTTTATTTTATTTATTAAATACTGTATACATGTAAAATTTGGTATCATTTGCATATCAGGGAGCATAATCGAGAAATTGTTTAGATCTTGTACGAAACTTAGTCCATGCCGATAAATAAAAACCACAAAGGAAATGTAATCCTTACGTTTTGCACTGTTCATCTCTTGATGTATGATACATTTTATATTTCTGACAAGCAAACAATGTTTATTATTAACTGATTTAACAAGATACATTCGATTCAGATTTACAATGCGTAAAAACGAATTGCGTACAATTGGTCCTGTTATAAACGTCGATGTTATGCACAAAACGATCGTTCCTCTAACAAGGGGCATTATACAATTAGCACACACTAATTTTTGCGCGCTTTCAATGTAGTATGCAACTTGAAAAAGTATTGGACATGTATTTTTTAAATGGGCAATCATTTACGTCGAAGGGATAAAAACAAGCTTCCGAAGTTGGGATTGAAATCGCCATTTTATGAAATATATCAAACACTACGCAATTTGGACAAAATTCAGAGTGCGGTTCGCGTATTTCTAAACTTCAAATTTCGCCGTATAAACTAATTTTCCAAAAAAACGGAAAATTCTTTTCAATCATATAATAAGAATTACTCTATTTTCTCGAATTTTCTTTAAGAAAAATTAATCTATTTTCATCGAAATTCAGACACACAAGCTACATAATTCGCGATTTCAACTTTCGTTGCCATAAAGCACACCTTGCATAATAAACAAATGAATATTTAAAATTCTAAAAATTAAAAAAATTGTTTAAATTTCTTCAGACAAATCACTATCCCAGAGATCCGTTCACACAACCGAACTTGCCATTCAAAAATATCCCTCACCCAACACCCAACAATTTCCAAAGCACTTAATAGAACAGATTTCCCATCCCCAGCCCTTAGTTGCTCCCGCCCCTACGAAATATCCGATCAGCAACGTATGAAGCCACGCACGTCAAACCTTCTTCCGAGAACTCCATCAACCTGCAACCACACGAAAGCGATCGTGCGTCGATTAGGTATCACCTCCGGTAGGTCGATCAGGCTTCTCGTAGCCAAGTATTATCCTCTATCTTGGGCGCGTGGTGCCCGCACGGCGTAGACCTCAGATCGCTATCCGGGTTCGCCGGGGGCGCGTGTTCGCGATGCGGGGGGCAGCCCGTAGCCAGCGTTACGCGTCATTTTCCGAAAGGGCAGCCATCGGTCACCGGCGTCGCCGGGGTTGCGGTTAATCCAGTCCGTTGGTCGCGGTCGTGGTCGTGGTCTCGGCGCTGGTCGTGGTCGGAGACGTGCTCGCGGCCGGTCGTGGCGGATGAGGAAGCCGAGGAAGGACTGCGAGAAGAGAGAGAATCAAGAGGAGGAGGAGGAGGAGGAGCGACGAAGGAGGACCAGGAAGCGTATCAGTGGTGGCAGGAGGAGAGGAGGTGAGCAGAGGAGCGGGCAAGCGCAAGCGCCCGTCCGATCGATGCCCGTCTCCCGTTCGTATAAAGCGCTCGTCCTCGGGGGGCGCGCGACAGTTGGCGTTCCGCAATCGGAACATGCGCCGCGTCGCGGGTACAGGTTGTCTATCGTGTCTTTGTTCGTCCTCGTTGTCAGTGTCCGTCGCTGTATCAAACACCGAGCCCGCCGCGCTGTGCTAGCCCGTCGTCATTCGGTGACCGACGGTTCCCACGGGCTAATCATCGTTTTGCGCTCCACGTGTCGATACGTTGTCACCAGTTGACAATAACATCCAGCTGCTGGGGGATGCGAAAAACTGGTCGACCAATGCGGACCTTGCTCAAGCCACCTACGGTTTTCCGGTTGAGCTGCGTTGTTTCGTTGGAGGCGACATCGCCGATTGATCAGTGATTAACGGGATAGGAGAAGACACCGGATGAACCAGTGAAAGTGACAAGAGTATATAGTCCGGTAGAAGGAGAAACGGATTAGTGAAGAGGGTTCGCGTGAAAGCTACAACGTCCCCGCTGGGATCGCGGTCTTCTCTGCGTGTCTCCGTTTATCCGGGAGATTCGGTGCGTCAAGAGCACGGATGTTCAAGCTCCGCGCGGATTCTATTACGTAACCGACGCCGCGAGCTGTGAACGACACCCGGCCGCGCGCACCTGGTGAACGTTCCTCTTCTTCTTGGTCTTATTCTTTGGCTGACTTCGACGTTGTCCCGCGACGACTCCGCGCGTATCAGCTTCACTGGTCGCGGCGCGGCGCGTCACGGCTCGACGAAGCTACGGCTTGATTACTGGCTCCCTTCTCGCGACGTGTCAGCGACATTCGTCCCGGGCGAGATACATCCGGGCAGGCGTCAGAGCGGCGGTCACTGGACCGTCCGGCGGACGTCTCGACCGCCGTACGACGAGCCGCTGGAAACAGGAGGCGGAGGAGGAGGGGCTGTGGAGGTGGTGGAGGAGGAAGGCCCGTGGACGTGCAACAAGTTAAGAGGCCGCCGCCACCGCCGCTACCGTCGACATCGCTGCCGCCGCCAACGTCCTCGCCACGATGTGACATGGATATCCTAGCCGTAGCCTGCGCCCTCGTCGCCACGGCCCTTTACTGCAACACCCTGCAAGCGGGTTTTGTCTACGATGATCGGTGAGTCCCACCAAATGTTTGTCAACGCGCGCACCACACTTCTGATACGTACTGTCACCCGCGAGTTTGGTGGAGCAGGTGATCTACCGCGGCATTCTTGTTCAAAAGGTTATATTTGGAATTTCATTTATGATTGTAACAGCCATTTGTGTTTGCTACTGTTTATCAGGCTGTTTGAGAAATTTTCTAGGTGACGTTCACAGGGTTTTATGAGAGTCTGGTTGAAAGACATTTTTAGAAAGTTATTTGATGGTTTTTGTTCGGAATAAGTTGAAAATAATTCTGCACAGTTTGTCTATTTTGTGGTTCGTGACTGACATCTGCGGTTTTGAAGATCTCTCTTGTGTATATATTTGTGATTCGTGACAGGAGAAATGGAAAAGCATGGGCATACGCGTGTTGGCTGATTTCTATGTTTGTAGAAAAATATCGAGATGATATTTTCTGGTTTTCATGAAACGATATAATGTAGTTCTTGTAGATATATTTGGTACAAATTTTTTTAATCGATCATCGTTCATATTGGAAATGGTTTTTGAAATTGAAGGGAGAAATGTATTTGAATTTGAAAATATTCGACAGCAATATAATTATTTTGTATACCGTTTGTTTGATTGTGCAATTTTGATGATTTCGTCTTACAGAACGTGCAAGGAAAGTAATATGTTTCTTCACTAAGCGAATATACGAAGCAAATATACTTTCCATGTAGAAATGTGCAGGGAAATGAATAAACATATGATTAGAACAGTTAACACAGCAATGTTGTTTGTTCAACGTGTTATTAACATACTGGATACTAACATCGGAACGTTGTTGACGTAGCGTGTGATGACCCATATGCCACGCGTCGATGGTACGTCGACAAAGTATCGGTTAATAACCACCGCACACTCACAATCGTGAAATCAAAGACTGATGTTGCTTTTTATATAAAAACCAGAGACAGAAAGAAAAAATTTTCATTTTGATTTAATTTCTCTAACAAATAAAAATTACTGACATGCGGTATGTTACTAACATTTTCCTGATGACAGCGAATGTGTTAAAAAGAAATGAAAGTTTATAGTGTCGACCATAAAATAAAATTTCTTCTAGTTTTCATGTTTTTCAAGGATTTCTGAAATATTCTTCCCGTTTCTGTGTGTCATAATTTTAAAGGCTGTTTTTACCCTAGGTAATTCATCAATTAATTTCATTCGTCAACACGAATAATAATTCATAAAAAGAATGAATGTGATATATTTTTGACACAACTACCTTCTATCAAAATTTCATCAAAACCAAACGTCACTATATGTTGAAAACTTTGTAAAAAACGTCTCTATGAAAATGATAAACGTATATTATTTATATAGTTATAATAAAACAACGTTACATTATGAAATAACCCCCAAGTGTTAGCCGCGATATTCACTTTTTCCCCGCTATTTCAATCACGTCTGAGCGACGTTATTTCAAGCCGTATGGTTAAAGAGATAGCAAATGCAGTAATTTAGAACTGCACGGTATAAATTTATAAGTGCCACTAGGCGTTAGAAGTAAAGGCAATACAGTCGGCAGCAGCGTTGGTTACCGCGTCCCGTCATGCGTTCGCGTCGTTCGCTGCAGGTAGCTTTTGTTCTTCAAAAAATATTTTTACAGTATTCTCAAGGGCTGTACAGTACTATTGTACGTTAATGGACGCTTGAAAAGCGGTGTACTCGTACGTTTGTATATCGGAGTTTTTCTGTGTAAAACAGAAACGGCACGAGTGACGGTAATTGTTGTGTTACGTTCTAACTTTTTTTCATTCGTTCGTTCGTTAAGAAACAATTAGAATCCCTTACACGCGACAGCTGATTTGATCGAACGGTATCAAATTGGGTATTCTATTGCTATTTTATTGTCTAGACTGATCTGTCTTTACTCATTCGCACAATTAGCTTTCTCGTGTTGAAGAACGGCTGAAAGTGGCCGGGGATTAGTTCGGGGCTGTTAGAACGGACCTAACGATTCAACCCTTGCGATCGTCACGTGCATGACGCAACATCGTAAGGGAGCGTTTCGGTAGTAACGGCATTAAAATTCATTGCGATTGCCGCTTGCGCAAGACCGGCCAATGGTGACGATAATATCGTTATTTATTGCAATCGGCGCAATAGACACCGAGCGCGGAGAATATAACGGCAAACAAGCGCAAACACAATGAATAAAGGACAAGTCGCAGCTGGATAAGCTGATTTACGAGCCACCGCCATTTGCTCTGCGATTTCATTTAATCCGATTCTACTACGGTTTAGTTAATCAGATATTACTAATTACGCGGATGTCGGCGTTGCCTGCTGCAGTAGGAACGCAAATCATACGCCAGTGGATTAGCGTTTTCTCTTTTCGGCCGATCGGAAACAAATGTGTCATCCATCATCGGGTTTGAATTCCACTTTTGCGGGGATGGAAGGTGGAAATAAATTTATTGTATATCTCGGACGCACTCGTATATTTTCCCGATGTAAAGATCTTGCGCTGGGTCGTGACATTTTTTGGTGCTCGCGCGTGTTTCTAGCGGAGCGGTCCGCCGAGCTTTTGGTCTGTATTCGCGATTACAGTTCTCTCGTTTCGCAGCTAGACAGCTGGATACGGAACACCTAGCTCCTTCTCGGTGCTCCCCGTTATTATAGCATTCGGCATTCAGCACGCAGGACGCGGCCACGCCGGCCGGTTGTCCTATAATCCAAAGTTACTCCCACGATAAGCGTGCTTAATCCAAAGCTCTCGAATTCTGTGATACCGAATCCCTTAATTGAGTATCCCCTAATCTCCGGAACATCGTAGTTGCGGGTCGATCAGCTGCGAGGTCGGTGTGCTCACCGGCCCGGGCCCGATTACGTACTTCTGCCGTCATCGATGGGAATCTGTTGCGTCGTTATCACGGGACCGGTTCGCTCGGTCGCGCGACTCCGTGAACGGCGCGGCGTGCAACGGCCACCCCCGCGACCGATAACTTCCCCCTATCCATTGACAGCGCAGCTGATAACGCGTCGATTTATTCGCCTGTATTTTCGGCGATAAGCTCTCGAGCGTAAGAACCATGCCCGTAGTCTTCGTCGCGCCAAAGACTCGGATCCCTGCTTCGGCACAATCAATGGATTACGACATACTCGGTGGTTATAAATTTTGAAGATTGATATTCCACAAGATGAAATTTTGTAATAATACTTTCTTTAGTTCAGAGTTCTTGTAACCAAAAGATCGAAAAATTTTTGTTGCTTCACGTATTACTTTGATTCGAAAATTTCGAAGGGGCAAGTTTGACGGATCTATAAATTAGAGAATTGGTAAAACCAAGGATAGTTTTGTTATCATCAATCTTGAAACTGTATAGGATAATAAGTAATTTTGTATGAGTCTTCGACTGTTATTCTTTAGAAAAATACTCGCTGTATAAGTTTTCCTATTCCTAAAAGATACGGAGTCGAGCATACTCCGCTTTCCAGGTGTCTTTTTACTGTACGAGAAGAGTAAGAGATTTTCATCCACGGTATCGAGATCAATAATTCATTGAAAAATAATAGATTTCCGTGGTTGCTTTCTATTTTGTAAAGCTCCTTTTTACGGTCACTGATTCCTCTGCGTCGGTTCGCAACGTTCCACGCTGCACGGAAGCCGATCGGAGGGCGTAATGGAATAACGCGAGGACGGAATGATCGTACGAATCAGTTTATTCTGGTGGACGCGTTAGAAATCAACCGTGCAGCCCATTCTAATGGAATTGCTTGTAACGGTTGGCCCGGTGATCAAACGTTTAATCGGCGAATACATTAGAGTGGCCGGGCCTACGAGCGACGGATCAGCGAGCGAAGGGCGCCACGTATCTCTACGTCGCATCCCGACGCTCCCAGCGGAACCTTAAAACCCAGGTAATAACGAAAAACGGGCGGGTGCATTAAGCCGAGATAATTTTTCATCCATATCCGCCCCATTAGCGGTCACCTCGTTCGATGCGACCGCCAAGGCTAAAGCAGCCAATGCGCCCGTGGCGACCATAATCAAGTCGAGTCCAGTTATTAACGAGAGTCCGGCCGAGTTTCCACCGTCGTCCTTTTTGTCTCGTTTTCGCTTCCTCCTCTATCC